CCCAATGTGTTCAGCAGTGAAATGCTGACGGTTTAATACTACTTCAATTCATTTTATAGATAATGGGCTATAGATACAACTATAGCCATATAATAACTGAATTCATGTTTTAGCAGTTGACCATGCTAGACTACAGTGCAGTCCAAGAAACAGAAATAATTTTCACTTGGATTTTGATACTTTGCATTGATTCTTGCAATATAATTCTAACATAATATCTAGAGCCAAAATACCATTGTATTAATAACTTCAATACAATATCCTTGAAAATAAGATGTTATCACACAGCAATAACTTATATACTTATTATATTATTTCTTTCAAGCTGCAGAGGAGAGCCTGAGCTATATACATATATATATACAGTGTGGGAAAAAAGTATTTAGTCAGCCACCAATTGTGCAAGTTCTCCCACTTAAAAAGATGAGTGAGGCCTGTAATTGGCATCATAGGTAGACCTCAACTATGAGAGACAAAATGAGAAAAAAAATCCAGACAATCACATTGGCTGATTTGGAAAGAATTTATTTGCAAATTATGCTGGAAAATAAGTATTTGGTCAATATCAAAGGTTCATCTCAATACTTTGTTATATATCCTTTGTTGGCAATGACAGAGGTCAAACGTTTCCTGTAAGTCTTCACAAGGTTGGCACACACTGTTGCTGGTATGTTGGCCCATTCCTCCATGCAGATCTCCTCTGGAGCAGTGATGTTTTAGGGCTATCGCTGGGCAACACGGACTTTCAACTCCCTCCAAAGGTTTTCTATGGGGTTGAGATCTGGAGACTGGCTAGGCCACTCCAGGAGCTTGAAATGCTTCTTACGAAGCCACTCCTTCGTTTCCTGGGCGGTATGTTTGGGATCATTGTCATGTTGGAAGACCCAGCCACGTTTCATATTCAATGCCCTTGCTGATGGAAGGAGGTTTGCACTCAAAATCTCACGATACATGGCCCCATTCATTCTGTCCTGTACATGGATCAGTTTGCGGAGAAACAGCCTCAAAGCATGATGTTGCCACCCCCATGCTTCACAGTAGGTATGGTGTTCTTTGGATGCAACTACGCATTCTCTCTCCTCCAGACACGACGAGTTGTGTTCCTACCAAACAGTTCTATTTTGGTTTCATCTGACCATATGACATTCTCCCAGTCCTCTTCTGGATCATCCAAATGCTCTCTAGCAAACTTCAGATGGGCCCGGACATGTACTGGCTTAAGCAGGGGGACACGTCTGGCACTGCAGGATCTGAGTCCCTGGCGGCGTAGTGTGTTACTGATGGTAGCCTTTGTTACATTGGTCCCAGCTCTCTGCAGGTCATTCACTAGGTCCCCCCCCCCGTGTGGTCCTTGGATTTTTGCTCACCGTTCTTGTGATCATTTAGACCCCACGGGGTGAGATCTTGCATGGAGCCCCAGATCGAGGGAGATTATCAGTGGTCTTGTATGTCTTCCATTTTCTAATTATTGCTCCCACAGTTGATTTGTTCACACCAAGCTGCTTGCCTATTGCAGATTCAGTCTTCCCAGCCTGGTGCAGGTCTACAATTTTGTTTCTGGTGTCCTTCGACAGCTCTTTGGTCTTCACCATAGTGGAGTTTGGAGTGTGACTGTTTGAGGTTGTGGACAGGTGTCTTTTATACTGATAACAAGTTCAAACAGATGCCATTGATAGAGGTAATGAGTGCAGGACAGAGGAGCCTCTTAAAGAAGAAGGTACAGGTCTGTGAGAGCCAGAAATCTTGCTTGTTTGTAGGTGACCAAATGCTTATTTTCCACCATAATTTGCAAATAAATTCTTTCCAAATCAGCCAATGTGATTGTCTGGATTTTTTTCTCATTTTGTCTCTCATAGTTGAGGTCTACCTATGATGCCAATTACAGGCCTCTCTCATCTTTTTAAGTGGGAGAACTTGCACAATTGGTGGCTGACTATATATTTTTTTGCCCCACTGTGTATATATACAGTCAGGTCCATAAATATTGGGACATCAACACAATTCTAACATTTTTGGCTCTATACACCACCACAATGGATTTGAAATGAAACGAACAAGATGTGCTTTAACTGCAGACGGTCAGCTTTAATTTGAGGGTATTTACATCCAAATCAGGTGACCGGTGTAGGAATTACAACAGTTTGCATATGTGCCTCCCACTTGTTAAGGGATCAAAAGTAATGGGACAGAATAATAATCATAAATCAAACTTTTACTTTTTAATACTTGGTTGCAAATCCTTTGCAGTCAATTACAGCCTGAAGTCTGGAACACATAAACATCACCAGACATTGGGTTTCATCCCTGGTGATGCTCTGCCAAGCCTCTACTGCAAATGTCTTCAGTTCCTGCTTGTTCTTGGGGCATTTTCCCTTCAGTTTTGTCTTCAGCAAGTGAAATGCATGCTCAATCGGATTCAAGTCAGGTGATTGACTTGGCCATTGCATAACATTCCACTTCTTTCCCTTAAAAAACTCTTTGGTTGCTTTTGCAGTATGCTTTGGGTCATTGTCAATCTGCACTGTGAAGCTGCGTCCAATGAGTTCTGAAGCATTTGGCTGAATATGAGCAGATAATATTGCCCGAAACACTTCAGAATTCATCCTGCTGCTTTTGTCAGCAGTCACATCATCAATAAATACAAGAGAACCAGTTCCATTGGCAGCCATACATGCCCACGCCATGAAACTACCACCACCATGCTTCACTGATGAGGTGGTATGCTTAGGATCATGAGCAGTTCCTTTCCTTCTCCATACTCTTCTCTTCCCATCACTCTGGTACAAGTTGATCTTGGTCTCATCTGTCCATAGGATGTTGTTCCAGAACTGTGAAGGCTTTTTAGATGTCATTTGGCAAACTCTAATCTGGCCTTCCTGTTTTTGAGGCTCACCAATGGTTTACATCTTGTGGTGAACCCTCTGTATTCACTCTGGTGAATTCTTCTCTTGATTGTTGACTTTGACACACATACACCTACCTCCTGGAGAGTGTTCCTGATCTGGCCAACTGTTGTAAAGGGTGTTTTCTTCACCAGGGAAAGAATTCTTCAGTCACCACGACAGTTGTTTTCCGTGGTCTTCCGGGTCTTTTGGTGTTGCTGAGCTCACCAGTGCGTTCCTTCTTTTTAAGAACGTTCCAAACAGTTGTTTTGACCATGCCTAATGTTTTTGCTATCTCTCTGATGGGTTTGTTTTGTTTTTTTCAGCCTAATGATGGCTTGCTTCACTGATAGTGACAGCTCTTTGGATCTCATCTTGAGAGTTGACAGCAACAGATTCCAAATGCAAATAGCACACTTGAAATGAACTCTGGACCTTTTATCTGCTCATTGTAATTGGGATAATGAGGGAATAACACACACCTGACCATGGAACAGCTGAGAAGCCAATTGTCCCATTAATTTTGGTCCCTTAACAAGTGGGAGGCACATATGCAAACTGCTGTAATTCCTACACCATTCACCTGATTTGGATGTAAATACCCTCAAATTAAAGCTGACAGTCTGCAGTTAAAGCACATCTTGTTTGTTTCATTTCAAATCCATTGTGGTGTATAGAGCCAAAAATGTTAGAATTGTGTTGATGTCCCAATATTTATGGACCTGACTGTATATATATATATATATTTATTGTGCAGGATAGCGGGTTTTTTCTCATTTACTTTGCCACCATTGCAGCTTTCTCTCAGTCTACTATGGGTATACAGCCCAGGCTAACCTAATAGCAATCTTTCTTCCAGAAATTGGTGTAATAAATATAATATAATTCAAACCAATACATTGAATGTGTATCACAACACTTCAGTTGAAGCAGAACTTCAGAAAAGCAGATCATATATATGAACTGTAATTACTCCCAAAGGATTTGTAAATGTACACAGCTAGTCTTGTAATGCAGGCACTTCTGTCGTTGCTGTTTTCATATTTACCTGTAGAGCAGATCTAAAAAACTTAAGAAAAACAGAACTGCTTCTTATGGCATACCTTTCCATGTTATTTTCTTTATTTTTGTACATTTTTTTGCCTTTGCCAGGCAGAATTTTTTAGAATTGCTTTTTACTATATTCATGGCAACAGTACAATTGTATAAGGTATCCAGGGATTCTCATCTTCCTGATCATGTAGCTAGTTGACTGATTTTTTTAGAACTCTGCATAGAGCTTGAGAAAAAATGTATTGACAGGTACCTGCTCCGACTTCCAGCTCAGTTTGTCACAGAAAACTGAGCACATGTTCAGCCCCCCCTCCTCCTGCAGTCTGCTGGGACACTTCACAGGTCCCAGGAGACTACGGGACCAATCACAAGGCACAGTGCAACTTATGCATGCGCAGTAGTAGTGCTTGCAATGCTAGCGCCAGGAACCTGGAGGCTAGTGAAGAACTAGCGCTGGACCCCTGGACAGACAAGGGTCTACCCACATGGAAGAAAAATATAGTTTAAATATATTTAAAAAATATTCTTCCCAAATATATTGACATATATTTGAAATACTACAAGTTTGGCCATATTCAATATATATTTATATATATAAAATACATTAAAAATATTTTAAAAAAATACATTTTCAAATATACAGTATGTCTTTAAAAATACATTTAATCAACATTTTTGGAAGGCATTTACATATATATGTAAAAATCTATGTTAAAATTACTTTTTTATATGTTAAAAAAAATCTGAAGAATATAAAAAAATTCATTTCAACATTTTATAAATATACTATTTATATATATATATATATATATACTGTATATACCGTATTTTTCGCTCCACAAGACGCACCTGACCATAAGATGCACCTAGGTTTTAGAGGAGAAAAACAAAGGAAAAAAATATTCTGAACCGATGGACTGCAGACATAGTACAGGAGATGACCAGAGACTGCGGACACAGTACAGAAGGACCAGAGACTGCGGACACAGTACAGGAGAAGGACCAGAGACTGCGGACACAGTACAGGAGAAGGACCAGAGACTGCGGACACAGTACAGGAGAAGGACCAGAGACTGCGGACACAGCACAGGAGAAGGACCAGAGACTGCGGACACAGCACAGGAGAAGGACCAGAGACTGCGGACACAGCACATGAGAAGGACCAGAGACTGCGGACACAGTACAAGAGATGACAAGAGACTGCGGACACAGTACAGGGAATGACAAGAGACTGTGGACACAGTACAGATGACCAGAGACAGCGGACACAGTACAGGAGATGACCAGAGACTGCAGACAGTACAGGAGATGACCAGAGACTGCAGACAGTACAGGGGATGACCAGAGACTGCAGACAGTACAGGGGATGACCAGAGACTGCAGACAGTACAGGGGATGACCAGAGACTGCAGACAGTACAGGGGATGACCAGAGACTGCAGACAGTAAAGGGGATGACCAGAGACTGCAGACAGTACAGGGGAGGACCAGAGACTGCAGACAGTACAGGGGATGACCAAGAGACTGCGGACCTTTGGGGAGGGAGGGGGCAGCAGGTACCTGAATTTGACAGGTACCCGCTCCCACTTCCACGGAGTTGTCCTCCCTTTAGTGTGAACACCCAGCTGTGACAGGTAAGGTCCTGCAGCAGAGAAGAGCTGAGCGGCCGGCCCGGTATTCTGACACAGTGGCGGTGACGGAAATACCGGACCGGACGCACTGACATTTTCCTCCCTTTTTTAGGGGGAAAAAAGTGCGTCTTATGGAGCGAAAAATACGGTATATGTATTAAAATATATTGAATACTGCCAAAATTGTAGTGTTTCAAATATATGTCAATATGTTTGGGAAGAATATTTTAAAAATATATTTCAAATATATTTTTATTCCATTTGGGTAGGTCTAGTGTAGCTGCTGAGTTTAATTTATTGGGGGAGCCTGGAACTCCTCTTTAAGGTTCTAGTGGTATCTCAACCTGATATTTCAAGGCAGGACAGCTGAGATGGTTCCTGTGTATACTCCTCACTGAACCAGTCACCTACTACATCCCATGTGGTCGGTAGTCACAGTTGCTTCCTGCAGGCCCTTAGCCTCCAGCAGTAAGTATCTTCAAGGATAACACCCAGGTAAAAAGAACACTGCTTCTTTCCAACCCCTAGACCCAAAGGCCTAGGAAGAGACAATTCTCCCAGCACGTATTGCCAAGCACCCAAAGTCTTCTGATTGGCTAGATCAGCCTTCCTCAACCTTTTCAACACATAGGGAACCTTGAAATAACTTTTAGGTCTCAGGGAACACCTGATAAAAATTACTTTATCTACAACTCATGATACATTATTGTTATTATCAGTGGGAAGATTGCTCCGTACACTTGTGAATATTGTGAAGAATTACCCTCTTACACATAGCTTAAAGGATCAATGGTGCCAAAGGGAACTTGCTTATTGCTCAAGGAACCTCTAGCAACCTCTGGAGGAACCCTAGGGTGCCTTGGAACCCTGGTTGAGGAGCCCTGGGCTAGATAATTAAAGAACACTAGAAGTGACGCTATTATTTAATATGTGGTGGTTTACAATGAGTTAAGTCCAACAGGGTGTATGCCACCTTGTGTAATTATCTCTTATTTACAATTGACAGTTTTACTGAGAACCCTACTAAACTCCACCTAAAACAGCCCTGATGGCTCCATGTCAGCACAGCAGGTATTGCCCCCAGCAGGTATGCCCCCCCCCCATCCTTCCAGGACCTAACTCATAAATTTGAGCCCACCTGCAGCCTTGGCGTTCTTCTTTTCTCCTCCTATGTGCAGGACCTAGGAGTGCTCCTTTACCTGGCTGATCTAAATGGCTGGATGCCAAAATGCGTTTGGGTTTAGATTGGACACGGTCCATGGTGTACCAGCTAAATAACCCATAATCCAGGGAGCCCCTCTGCTGGTCCTCAGGGCAGCTTTCATCATGGCTAACAGCCTTGTTTGGAGTCCATGTACATTTGGCAGCTGTATAGCTGTATTTAACTGTAGGGTTGCCACCTTATTCCTTTAAAACTGAACACATATTAATTGCACAGGTTCCGATGCTAATTTAATGCAGATAAGGCACTGAGTGATTTTAATTACCACCTTAATCAGGCACAGAACCTGTGTAATTAATATGTGTTTGGTTTTAAAGGGATGAGGTGGCAACCCTAGTTAGCAGAATCTCCCCTAGGTACAGCAGAGATTGAGTGAGCTAAATTTAAAAATGCTTTGTATCCAAATGAATGCTGCATTGCTAGGTATTTTTGTGCTAATGCACACCCTGAGCTCCCCACAGGTAGTATTCTGCATACCAGGTGCTCAAAGTAATACTTTGTCTGTTCACATATAGCATTAAACCGTTGGTGGCTTCTCATGTTTGCTTTACTATTGTGTCATTAGACCCAAAAAAAAACAGCATTCTCAGAGAAGGCAGAGGAGTCACCTGTGGATGACTACTGTAACCAGCTATTGCCTGTTGAAGTATAAGAAATCATTTATATTTTTTGTGCTCTCCAGTTTATCAACCAAAAAAAAAGAAAGCAAAAGATAAGGTCTTTATGATGTCAACTATTCCCTTGGATGGTTTGTGTACATTGCAGAATGCTATTGTAATTCTGTTGCAGATTCCTACCTTTTGTTGCTCTTCTGAACAAAACTTTTTCATCATTAACCACCTGGTGAAATCTCAGGGCTGTAGATGGAAGCTGCAGGATCAGCCTCCCTTTAGGTGTAGTTAACCCTTCAGAATTTGTTACCAAGCAAATTTTCTACTGCATTGAATTTTGTTTTTAATGTTTGTGTTAATCGCCAGGCAAAACCCTGTGAAATAGGATTATCTATTCTGGCAATGAGCAGTCTCAGAGCTACCCCAACCAAAACTGCCCTCTTCAGGCGCTTCAAAAAAGAAGATGCGGATGAGCATGACTGTGTGAATCTTGTTTTGTTCAAGCAACCAAAGATGAGAATGACGACAACTTCCAGGTTGTGGCATTCATTAGATAAGTAGGCAATTCACTCAAAATAAGTTTCCACTTACACTGAGAAAGGGTTATCTATTCTATCAAGGAGCAGTCTGTTAGCCTTCCAGGCAAATAGCCCTCTCAGACTCTTCCAAAAAGAAGAAACAGATGAGCATGACTGTATGAACCCTGCTGGTTCAAGCAACCAGGGATAAAGATGTGGACATCTAACAAATTGTCACATTCATTAAAAATGTGGTCAATGCATTTTAAAGGAGTTGCTTCCATGCAGCCTGTTAATGGATCATACATTCTGCCAATGAGCAGTCTCAGAACCTTCTAGGACAAATCAATCCTTGTCAGATTCTTCCAAATAAGAATATGGATGAACATGACTGTATGATTCCTGCTTTGTTCAAGCATACAGTGATTAAGATGATGGTGACCAAGTTGTTCCAATTAATTAAGCATGTGGTCAAGACACTCCTGGCAATGTCCAGCCTTCCTTTCAGGATCATTAAAACTTTTCTCTGAGCCTTCTCAAGCCAATCAATCCTCTGCAGTCTCTTCTGAAGAAGAAGATGAGGACAACCTTTGTTCAGATTTTTGATTTCTTCTTTTGTACAGTTGGTGATATGCCTTTAAAAGAGAAGCAATGCTGTGGAAGTATTTCAAATACCTCCAGAGGACAGCTGGACAATTACCTTATAGTGACTGAATTTAGTGCTCGTTCTACAAGAATTGATGTCAAAATTGCCTTTTAAACAGGGATGTGTTGAAATCACCTCTTTTTGTCAATGTGTCCCTTATGGGATCGGCTAGATACATGACCTTACCATTAGAAGTTGCTGTGGCCTTTATGGACGCACTAAGTCACTGCAGTGTTTGGGAAATATTTCTTCCTTCACGTCTCATACTGGTAGCAGAAATTGCCTCACTCCAGCAGGTCAGGTAGGCTCAGTTGAACTCTTGTTCTCTTTCAATTCGGGTTTCTGGACCAGTGGAGGTCAGAGAGCCTAGGTCAGAAGATATGGATTACGCTCTGTATGATACCCCTAAACTTGTGGTTGGAGAAGCAGACTCTTCTATGTCATTTCCTTCTAACGACCTAGTGTCTGGTGGTGCAGTCAGACACCAGCAAGTAGTTTGGGGAGCCCTATTTCAGGAGCAATGGGCTCAGGGCCAAGAGCCTTTTCAAGGGTTCAAGATGGTGTCCAACATTCTGGAGTTGAGTGAGGCATTTCAGACTCTCCTAGCAGTCAGTCACCTCATCCGGGGTGGATCTGTCCTGGAGAAGTCAGCACAACGACTGTGTCCTACATTCGGAAACAAGGGAACACTCAGTCTCTCTCTCCTGAAGGAGTTTTCTCCGATTCTAGAGTTGGCCCAAGTCAATCCTCTGTAGCTATCTGTGGCCTATGTGCCTGGTCATAAGAATCTTGAAGCGAACTATTTGTCCAAGAAAATAATGATTGGTCCAAACTATCACAAGTCTTTCGAGAACTAACGGACCTTGGTAGAGTCCAGAGGCAATCAGGGTGAAGATGCTGATTGCAGAGTGGATGTCCAAGACAGCTTATGCCTTTCTGATGCTCTCTGATTCTAAGCTTCCTGCTGGGGCTGTGGCTGGGAAAGGTGGCAGTTCTGATGGTGATCCCAGATTGTCTGAAGGGCCTTGGTATTCTCTGCTCCTTATGAAGAGTGTTAAGGATCCACTCCCTCTGCTGGTAAGATCAAATCTTCTCCAATGTCCCATTCGTCCGCACCCAACAGGCTCAAGCTGATGGCCTGGGTATTGTGAGGAGTGGCTAATAGGTCTCCGGTGCTCTGTAAAGGTTGGGAACACTCCCATGAAAGCAAGTAAGGACAGCATTAACAATGCCTGTAGTAGAATATGGCATAAATTCACAAGAGTGCTGCTGATCAAGATTTTACACTGGTCTCTTCACAAGTCTATCACGTTTTGAAGTTACTGCAGGTGGGGCTTCATTTAGGTCTATGCATAAGTATGCTATAGCCCACATTTCAGGCTATTTCTGTCTTCACCGGCATACAGTGGGCATCCAACACTTAATTATACTTTTCTTCAAGCTGCAAAGTGTTTGAAACATCCCTAGGGGATTGTTGTTCCAGAAGTGGAATCCCCCCTTGGTGTTAGACCTTTTTTCATCAGATGCCTTCAATTGAAGTGGCCCCCTGTAGTACCTCTCACTGAAAACTGCTTTCCTGGTGGCAATTACATTAACCAGAAGAGTGTCGGTATTAGCGGCCTTCGGGTTTAAAGAACCCTTTCTCACATTTATCCCAGGCAGGGAGGTACTCGGTGGGGTGCATTGGACACCTTGGCTGCCATTGTGCTATTTGCTGGGTGTCCAGTACACTCTTGTACCTTTAAGGAGGGGTGGGCCCCCTCAGGTTCACCTGCCCTAAGTCTATCCATTAAAAATATGTGCATGTACTATGAGGGCTCTCAAAATTTGTAGAGTTAGGATCTGCAGAATATCGGGGTGCTGTGAAGAGGCTCTGCATCTTATGCATGTGTTTGCAAATATGTGCTAAATAAACCCCTGTTTTTAACGCATACTGTTGGACAGGCTAATTCGGTTTGTTTGCAAGCTGGTTGGTAAGTTGAGCTAGGAAATTTTCTCTTTTATTGTTTGACAAGGGTGGTACTCATGCTGATGTTCAAAATCGTGCCTAAGTGGCCTTCAGAGTCCATATCACACAAGAGGTTGTCCTTCCTATGT